ACTCCCTCCCCTCACAGTCAAACATTGCCATAGTACTTTTCGATCCAAGGAGTCGAAGGCCGCCTTCAAGTCAAGAAATATGGCAATTGTTGGACGCCGAAAAGTGTGTCGACGTTCTAGAATCTTTCGGAGAGTGAAGATATGATCTAAGCACCCTCTACCAGATCTAAAGCCTGCTTGATTTTCCCTCGTTTTTTCCTCCCGAGTTCTGCTTAGTCAATGCTTGATGACTGACTTTAGGATTTTAGAAACTATGTTCGTTAGGCTGATCCCCCTATGATTATCACACGAGGACTTGTTTCCCTTCTTGAATATCGGTATAATAAGTGACTTACCCCAGTCTGATGGAACCGTCTCTGATTCTCAGACGTTGCCTAGTACCTTAGTTAATCTACATACTAGTATGTCACCTCCATATTTAAACACCTCCGGAATAATTCCGTCGGGTCTTGCCGCTTTGCCTCGTTTCAAATTACAGATAGCTTTTGTGACCCCATTTGCAGACGGTGGACCAGTGTCTACATTCCATTCGGGTGTGTTCTGGATGTCGGGGAGGTTCAGTGTGGCTGTAGGCAAGTTAAATTGTCCCTCAAAGTGTTCTTTCCAGCGTTCAAGGTGTCTATTCTGAGAGCTATTTAAGGAGCCATTTTTCTCAGAAATAGTCTCACTTATGATTTGCCTTCAATATACACGTATAACATTTTTATTACAATACACAACAGTTTACCAATCAAGTGGCCCTGATATGTTTGTTAACAATAATTAGTCAGTCAGTGTCAACATGTCATTTGGTTAATAATTAACGAAGAAAATTAGCATACACACAATTAAAAGGTAGAAATGGTTAGAGTAAATTATTTTTACAAGGATAACACGTAATTAAAGGTGAAGTGGTCAGAAAAAGTAATCAAATAATTTAGACAATTATAATTTTTAAAATTTTTAAAGGTTTAGGGGGAGGGGGCGAAGTAGTCCGGCTTTATGCATTCATGTACCGATGGCCAAGGAAGGTATGGAAAGTGGCTGTACAAATTTCTTCTGAACACACAGGTTTGGCTTCTTCAGGTTGATTCCTATTGCTTCAGCTCTCTGTAGACGAGGAACTCGTAGAGCATAATTAAGATTAGTCGGAATGCGATAAATAATTTAAAATGCTGCATTAAAATCAACCTTATCTTTGTAAAATTAATTTATTCTAACCATTTCTACCTTTTAATTGTATGCTAATTTTCTTCGTTAATTATCAAGCCATTGACATTTTGACACTGTTTAATTATTGTTAACAAACATATCAGTGCCACTTGTCTGTCTGTCTGTCTGTTTTCGACATAGAACTTTGCACAAATGTGCACCAGTTCAAGTCGCCACATTCCGTGTAGTACGCGAAGCAAGAGAAGAAAGTAGAAGAAAGGCATAATAGAGACAGTGAGCAGAGGTATGAGACAAAGGAGGAGTAATAAAGAAAAACAAAACAGTTTCATTGAAGATCACAAGTCACAGGGAGTGGATGCATCTGCGCCATCACTGAGAACGGTTTTGAGCCATGTCACCAATTGTTTCCAACCATAGATTGTTACCGTCCCGAGGACCCCAACCAGTCAGGAAGTCTACACCTTCCTACGTGGCTTAGACCAACTGTTGTGGATTTCATTGACTGGTGCAGCCAAGTTTTTGTTCGACCTCCGCTAGCGTTTTTCCAGCCTGACCCTATATCCGCTAACATTGCCAGTCGAGGAAGGCGATGACTAGGCATACATGCGTAACACATGTCCTAACCATCTCAGTCTTTGTAACTTCACGACTTCGTCGATTGATTTCCCCTGTTTACCTAGAACTCGACGCCTAACCTCAATGTTGCTCACCTTATTATTCCACTTTACACGGGAAATAGAGCGCAGGCACCTATGATCAAAGACAGCTAGTCTTTTCATGTCTTCCACTCTCAGTGGCCAGGTCTCACAGCTGGCCACAAAGGAGGACGGATCGAACTGATGAGCAGTACACCCGCCCTTTGGTCGATAGTCGAACATCTCGTCTACGCCAGAGTCAGCGTAAACTGGCAAATGCCACTTGATTGGTAAACTGTTGCGTATTGCAATAAAGGTGCTATACGTGTGTATTAGAGTATAGCCAGAGTGAGATGAGGGAGGATCTAATTGAAAAGTAAATATTTCTTCGCTCGTTCAATCTTTCTGTTTTCTAAATGTCTAAATGGGGATATTTTTTCTGTATAATATGTAAATAAAATTACTTTCTAATCGAATGTTGTGTAATGTAGTTGAGCGTGAGTCATGTAGTTTTAGTCTGCAAGGAAAACTCACTTTAAGCCTCTTTTTTGTCAACAATGTTGTTGTAAGTCATTTGAAATTTAATTAGGATTACCACTGCACTCAATTGAGCGACAGGACAGCCGAGTGAATGTGAATGAACCCGTTGTATTGGAAGTTCTTGTGTACTGTATTTATCAATATCGAGTAGCGAGTAGTGATGAATAATCATTTAGAGGTTTATATAAGATCACCAAAAAATTTATCAAATGTTCTTGGCGGCGTCATGTGTTTTGTTAATAAAGACATTCTTCTCTGTGTTGGATCTTAAGAGCCAAGCAGGCTGTGCAATTTCTGTTTGGCTCAAGCTGTCGGTCATAGGATTCTTGTACTGTATAGTATTTCCCTTTGTCCTTCTTATTCTGTATGACTGTCAGACATGGCCATCGAAAATGACAAACCAGAAGAGGTTAACTGGTTACTCTATTTTACTTCTATTTTAAGTAAGTGAGATGGTTAGGAGTGCGTCGGTGACATAGTGGTAGAATGCTCGCTAACCACGCCATATTTCGTACTTCGGTCTCTTAAGCCTTCTCAAAGCCTTGGTCCTGACGGCATACCTGCCATTGTCCTCAGGAATTGTGCTGATATTTTGTGTTATCCTCTTACTAACATTTTTAATGCTCTTTTTCCGGTAACGTTCTACCTTTTGCATGGAAAAACATTAAAATTATCCCTATACCAAAACCATCTTCTGGTTCTGATATTAAATTTCGGCCTATTGCAATTACTTCCCCCTTTTTAAAATTGATGGAAAAATTACTTTTACTTCGTCTTGAACCCGCTTTGAAACCTTTTAATGATCCTAAACAATTTGCATACAAACATGGTAGAAGTACCTTGGATGCTGCGGTTGTCTTATATCACAATGTTGTCTCTTGTTTAGACAAAGGTGCTAAATATGTTCGTAGTGCTTTCTTAGACTACACATCTGCTTTTGACTCTGTACCTAGGGGCCTTTTGTTAAATAAGCTATCGTTGACACAAACAGGATCCTGGGCTAAGAGTTGGTTGCATTCCTATTTTTCTGATAGAATGCAGTATACTGTATATAACGGCAAATCTTCTTCTACCTCGCTTACAAAATCCGGTGTTCCACAAGGTGCTGTCCTCTCTCCTTTTCTTTTTTCTTTCTTCCTACATGACCTGCCTCATTCAAACGAAACTAACTTTGTCAAATATGCAGATGATCTGACTGTATCACTGCCTATCACTTCCGAGTCTGACAGCTCCAAACTTAATAGCTTTCTGTTGGACATCAACAACTGGTCCAAGTCAAATGGTCTTATATTAAATCCTTCCAAATGTCAGGCTTGACTTTACTTTCAAGCATCGACGTGACTTACTTGAACTAGTTAACTCTCATGATCCCTGTAGCATAGATGGCACGGAAATTGAAACCAAATCAAGCATTAAATACCTTGGATTAGTTTTTTCCTCTGACCTTTCATGGTCATCCCATATCTTATCTATCTCTAAGAAAATGTTTCGTCTTACCTTCTACATTAAAAAGTTAAGACAATCAGGTATCAACCAACCTTTAGTTTTGCAATTTTTAAACTCCTGTATTTTACCTATTGTACTCTACTGCTCTCCATTAATCTTTCCTGGGCTTCTCAAAAAAGATTATATCATATTACGAAGAGTATTAAATGCTGTGAGTAGAGCTTGTGGTCTGCCACTGCATGAGCTCGCTAATACTATAGTCGAGAGGCATATAAATTCCTGTACGAAATGGGCAAAGGCTATAATGTCAGACCCTCTGCACCCCCTTTATTCACACCTGTCCCCTTGTATCTCATCAGGTAGGACGAGAAGTCAATATAAAAAGATATATGCTCGTACTACTAAGTATAGAAATTCTACAATACCCTATTTAGCGCGTACTTTATGTGACGAAGACTCTGTTAGACGTGAAACTTACAAGTTACTATGTAATTAGCACAGTGAATCGACCCTTTTATCGTTCATCTTTCTGTATTTTATGGTGTCACACTTTCTATCGTTTAAATCGTTACTCTGCTATTTTATTTTTAGTTGGTATTACTATTATTACTACAATTTTGTACTTTATACATATTTTTCTCCGTATGGCACACAGTATTTTGCTACGTAGCTGCTATAACAATCGTTTTATTACTATTATGTAATGTGTATTTTTAATTTTTTTTGTGTCGTTTTTGAGTAAATTAGATGCAATATTGTACTGAATGCTGAAAATTCCTTGCTGTATCATGAGTACTGTTTTTGGAATAAAGCTATTATTATTATTATTATTATTATTATATGGTCCGGAGTTCGATCCCCGGTCACTGACGCACTCATTTACCTCGCGAAGCCCGTAGTAAGATTGATTGGACACTGGTAACTAGTGTTCAGTCCTACATGAGGTCAATCGTGAGCCAGCTCGAATAGCTCAGTGGTAACGTCTCTGACTGCAGTCAGCACTGGGTGACGTGGGTTCGAATCTCAGTCGGTGGGACATGTGTTCCTTCAAGATTGCAGATACGCGTAACTGGCTGACTGTTGAGTGCCAACTAGCGCGAAACCTAAGTGGAGGGCTTCCTATGGCCGATTATCTCCAACCATCTAAAATAAACTTATCTAGTATGGTACCATTATTATTATTATTATCATTATTGTCTAAATTATTGTGTTCTCTGTTTATTTCAGGAAATCATGTACAAACTTGATCCATTAGTACAAAAGTTAACTCATTTTGTACATACAGATAGTATGTATAAATTGAGAAACCTATTCCCTCACTCCAATGATTCCAATATTGCAAACAATATATCCTGTGGAAACACGACAAGTGAACGTGATCAGACTATGCTGAATGAATTACACCAGTTGGACAACAGTATCACATTCCTATTGAATACATTCAAAAGTTATAAGCCAAAAAAGCAGAAGAAGAATTGTAGTCAGACAACGACGGCGGCGACGACAAATACGGCTACCACCACGGCCACCGCCACGGCCACGGCCACGAGTACTATTAGCACAGCTGAGACTGCTGCTTTGAAGAAGTCTTTTGTCGATGAATTACATGAATTAAGTAGTCATGTTAACAATCTTTTAAATTATCCTAAAGCGGATCCTACTAACGCTCAGAGTGTGCAGACACTACTAAGTCGACTAGACGGTGAACTCAACAGTCTAATCGATATATTTACAAGTTATCCCAGTCAACTGGTAAACACAACAACAGCTTCTACAACTGTGGCAATGAGAACACCTAAAGAACCAGTAACTCTTATTATTCAATGTAATCCAAATAATCCTCCATTATCTGTGCTACTATTATGTCATTTATTGATTAGTAATCATTACAGAGTAACAATTAAATCATTCAAGCACTCAACAGTTATGAAGGAATTACCTCAATCACTGGAGAAATTACTTGAACTTTTAACTACTCCTGCTGCAGCGACGACTCCTATTGATACAAATTTAAACTTACATTTCATTTGGAATTTATCCTGTCCTGATTGTGTTATATCCTCATTTGACAAATCGATTACCCCATCAAAGCTATACGGTGAATGTATGCTAGTCGAGTTAATCTATAGAGTGTTTGAATCAGCAGCACAAACTGATGATAAGCTGTTATCGCTGATCATGTTGATTGATTCAAAGTTATTATTATCGTCATCATCATCATCATCATCTTCATTGGGTACTTCGTCGACGATTGTTCAAGCCTGTAGACAAGAAGCCCTAACTACACTGAATGCTCATTCATATTTTCAACAAATTACACGCGATTTCCCATCAATTATTGACTGTTATTTATATACATGTCTGAAACAATTGAATTTTTTCAATGGTGATGGTCTACCGGGTAATTTAAAGGTGTGGTTGAAATTTTGTCAGAAATGGAAAAGTTTTAATTTGTTATCAGTGTAACAATTGAATTATGTGATATTGTATAATTAATTATATACATTCTGGTGTACAGAAGTCATTTTTTATGTTCTGTCTTTTATTCTGTGATGGATGTACAGCTGTACCTAATAAACTGGTCTAGGTGGGTCAGGAGTTCGAAATACCCATCGCCTCTTTCGCCGTGTAATGTTAGCTGACATGAAGTTGTATTGGAGAATAGTTAATTTGGTTTTTCAGGCACGTAGGGAAATACCTTCCTAGGGTTTTCGGGACTTCGAATGCTAAGAACAAATGGTTACAGACTATTGGTGATATGCTGCTATCTAGGAATGTTTGGCATGCGAATTATCCGCTCCCGCCAAATGTATCAGTCAGTGCCGGCGGGTCGGTTGATCGCTTTACTCTAACTTGTTTGAGTATTGATTGTTTTCTTGACCTGAAGCTTAACTTTTTGTTCATTTGTGATTTCCTTCTTATCGATTAATAAATCTTGTGTGTATCAATGTGTTTATTGACTCTGCCAATTAATTCACTGGAAGTTACCAAAAATTCTCTGGAGTTCTTGGTTTTTCCTCTGTCTAACTCATGTCCATGGTTGTCTGTATGCAGTGATATAAGGAGGAGGTAGATGTCGCGTCTTTTGACGGATTGTTTATATCCATGGATGCAAAGACGATTTGGGCTGCATACACGCACATAATTATAATCCGTATTCTATAACCGTACCAACCAGATACGTCCCAACACCGTTTCTTGAAATAAATTTAACATTCTGTCTAATTTGAATCTAATGCTCATCAGAGCACATTTGGAAATTAACTGAGTGATTTTTGATTTGTGCTTTGCTATTATTGATTAGGTGGTGTACTGATAATAATAATAATAATAATGTGCTTTACTTCAAAAACTGTACTTATGATACAGTGTGGAATTTTCAGCATTGCATCCAAATTACTGAACAACAACAACAGCAACACCAACAAAACAAACATTTTACAGGGTACACTTAATCAACAGCAGCTTTTGGCATTAACAGAAACCGTAGGGGAAAAATGTACAAACGTAAAATGACAATAATAATAATAATTATTATTTTACAAGTTGATCACGGATTGGTATCAGTTAGAGAACCATTGAAAACCTAAGTAGTATTAGACACAGCTATTTCATCCTAGTTCGGGAATCACTGTCAGCACGTGTATCCGTTGGAGTTTGAACCCAGGACCTTCCAGTTACAAGCAAGCAAGCTCACATACCATTCACCCACTGGGACTCGATCCAATGACCAACTCATGGATTCTAGCTTCTATTTACTTACTTTACTTTAATTCGACTTTCTCCTACGGGAGGATGAGCCGGCTTCATGAACATCTCGAATCATCGCTGCCCAGGCGCGGCGATCTGATGCAAGCTTTTGCGACAGGATTATCCAATTCTTGTTCCACAGACAGCGTCCGTAGACGGTTTGTAGGCACTCCATATCAGCCTTGACTGTACCAAGCCATATTTTCAGCTGCGACATCGTCAAGATGGAAATGGCGAGGGATTTAGAACTGATTTGACCAGATCGTCATCTGGTCGACGCAGAACATGGCCAAACCACCGAAGGCGACGTTGTTGGACCAGTACTGGAATTTAGTTAATGTTGTAGAGAGTTCATGAAGTTTCATGGGAATTAGGTACGAGTGATGTCCCCAGGATCGCTCGGCCTTTTGTCTGAGAGTGCAGCTCTAGCCTTTACACAACCAAGTGTGACCTACAAGGCAGTAGGAGTGGAGTAGGGAGTCCACTATCCATTGGCAGCCGGTGACCGGAGTCCGGTTCATACGCCTTTTTGAATGGGGCCAGACGTCCAGGGCATCCAATAAGCCCTTTGTCCATACGTCTGCCGGTGAGCTTCATACGCCAGTCGTTGGAGGTTTGGAATCAGGCAGGGTTTAGCCATCTCTCCTAGACTGTCATCCAACGGAGAGTCAACCCGGTGAAGAGCGCCGGGCGTCCGCTTTTGCCCTCCCACTTCGGTGAAAAAACACCGCCACGTAAAGGCAGTGAGTAGGACTTCCTCAGGAGAGGCTATGTAAGACGCCCGGTCACATGGGAGCATTTCAAGAGGTGTACGGAGGGGTGGCCAACCCGCAGCGCAAGGCACCCACCCCCGAACATACTGAGGATTTGGAGACTAGCTTCTACCAATTTTCGATTTAGCGTGACTAGCACCAACCAATGTCGTCGCTGAGACATCCTCATACGTGACTGGATGGAGCTCACTGGTCATGACTTCTCACTAGGACTCCAGGAAACTCCGTCCTGTATCAAATCATTAGCGAGCATCAGATTAATTTCCGAGAGTTGGTTTGTAAGGGTTAGTTTTGTTTTACTGGTTGATAATAATAATAATGATTTAGTTTATTTCAAAAACAGTACTTGTGATACAGAATAGAATTTTCAGCATTAACCACAATATTGATATAAGAATAAAACTTGTGCACTGTGGTAGAGTATAATTCTATTATGGGTAAATTTTTGTTATGATAAAGTCTCACAGTGTTTGTTATACAGTAATGTTTACTGATGACCACGTTTCGAGCACAATTTACTGCCACTCATAATCATATCAAGGTGCTCCTCACACGACTTCCTAACTTCATTTATATACTTCCATTGTTTTTCACTTGATTTGATTGGTAGTAGTATTTCCCATATTTCAGGTATGAGTGATGACTCATTCCTATTGCATGTTTGTGGTGTAGACTCGATGAACAAGGATTCAGTAATCAACCTCTCTCGCTTTCCACCTACCTAGGTTACTTTTTAGAATTTTAACCCTCTCCCAACCACTCTATTGTGTGGTTGTGTGTTAGCGCATGCATTGCAATTGCTGAGCTTTTTTCTAAATTACTTATCTTCTTGGGATCAACCATTCTTACCTTAGCTAAATTCTGTTTCGACAATCTGACTACCGCCGACCTATTAGTTTGACCTATGTAGTTGACCTTACCCACAGTTATTGCAGGGTATTTTGTAAATTATATTATTTTGTTTAATTGGGTCAACCTACAGGGTTCTTTAATCTACAGAGCTTGTCTCTAAGTGAGTTTGTAGGTCTGAATGCCACCCTAATTCCTGCTTTATTAAGAATCCTACGTGGGGTCTCAGATGCCCCCCCCTCTTATATGGTATAACAGTAGATGCCTTATATTCTCTCTTATATCTGTTATTATTAGTTTCACAATTATTTTTATTTTTCGTTTAGCCTTTTTTGATCGTCCTAATGAATTTTAAAGGATAGTTATTGAACATCAAAGCCTCTTCTATCTGCTTTATTTCGTCATTTAGGTCTTTTCTTGTGCTACTTAGTGCTACTGCTCGGTTTGTTAAACACTTAACTAAGTCTGCCTCAACAGTCAACGGATGAGGTGATGAATTAAAGTCTAAATGTCTATTAGAATGAGTTGGTTTTCTATAAACACACCCCTCACACAGATATATGGCTCTTAATACGTTTAATCCTACTCCAAAAATACGATGGTTGACCCTGAAAAGATAAGTAATTTAGAAAAAAGCTCAGCAATTCCACTACATGCATTAACACACAACCACACAATAGAGTGGTTGGGAGAGGGTTAAAATTCTAAAAAGTAACCTAGGTAGGTGGAAAGCGAGAGAGGTTGATTACTGAATCCTTGTTCATCGAGTCTACACCACAAACATGCAATAGGAATGAGTCATCACTCATACCTGAAATATGGGAAATACTACTACCAATCAAATCAAGTGAAAAACAATGGAAGTATATAAATGAAGTTAGGAAGTCGTGTGAGGAGCACCTTGATATGATTATGAGTGGCAGTAAATTGTGCTCGAAACGTGGTCATCAGTAAACATTACTGTATAACAAACACTGTGAGACTTTATCATAACAAAAATTTACCCACAATGGAATAATCACAATATTCCATCTAATTTCCTCAAATTATAAATAAAATTAATCACACAGAAAAACTTTCCACTTTTACAATAGGGGTGGGTAGTGTCAAAAACATGCAGCATATAAAATGGAAATAATTATAATGATAACAGCTAAGGTGATAATAATGATAATACAAGTGAAAATTACTGTAGGCTTGTTTCACACTGTATTGTCGATGCGGTATAGAAATCCTGGCATGTTTAAAAATACTGAATATAATGTTCTCTCTACATGATGATGATGATGGTGAGGGGAAAAACAAAGATTACAGCCGTCATGGAGATAAGATGGTGTTTGCAATTGCGAGAGTAGTTTGATTATCCGTTTCAGAAGGGCCCTTTTTGATGATGTCAGTTTAGCCCAAAACTCATATTGTGATGAGAGCTGTCTGCATGACAAAATTGTTAGACAACAATTGACGTCAATGTTACGTCTCGAATCAGCGTCATGACAAAAACAAGAACAAAGTCTAACCTTGAGGAACTCAACAGCCAAATCACAGCAGACTTAGCGTGGGCGGTACGATTAGCAGATATGTCAACGGACTGTCTAAGAAATGGCAACAAAGAGATAACAGAATAACCGTCAGAGGGAAAACAACCAATTAGAAGACGTTGATTCTCTGCTAACAATCACGCTAATAATAATGTACATAAAAATCTATAAACATGTGTTGATTTTCTCAATAAACTATCTGTTGCCTGACCCTTGTCTTCTGTCGTTACAATATTATTTAACTGCTAACGAATATTTCTGCCTTTAGTTTAACAACTACTGTGGGATAAATATTTGATCACTATCTAATGATGAAATTCGATTCACAAACTACAAATAATGTATTTTACAAAAATATAATGTTTGACTGATTGACTGATAAAGTCACACTTCCCACGACATTTGAGCTGCGGTTGGGAAAGATTCTAAGTGAAGAGTGCAATGATGATAACAATAAAGACTGCGAAGATGAAGTGAGGTATGGAATGAATTCAAGTGGTAAAATAGAATACAAATAAAATGAAAAGAACATTACGACGACCAAGGTAAGGTCAAGAAAGGGGCTTAACGAAACGTTTTGTTTCTGTCCATATATAGCTAGAACTTTGGTTATCCATAAGTGCAGAAAACGTAAGCTTTTGGAATGGTTGAATTATATCCTGTAGATGACTTTAAAGGATAAATCATTTTGAAGGGTGGGGGTTGAATGACCTGACTCCGGAAACTGTTCAAAAATTGAAGACTTCGTTATCATATGCTCACCTTTCATTGTCTGTCTGTCTCTCTCTCTCTGTGTCTGTTTTCGACATAGAACTTCGCACATAAGTGTGGCAGTTCAAGTCGCCACACTCTCCACATGTATCACACAAAGCAAGAGAAGAAAGTACAAGAAAAGCATAATAGAGACAGCAAACACAGGTGTGAGACAAAGGAAGAGTAATAACGAAGAACAAAACAGTTTTATTGGAAATCATAAGTCACAAGGAGTGGATGCATCTCCACCAGCCAGCCACTGAGAACGATTTTGAGCCATATCACCAATTGTTTCCAACCATTGGTTTTTACCGTACCGGGGACCCCAACCAGTCAGGAAGTCTACACCTTCCTACGTGACTGGCTTAAACTAACTGTTGTAGATTTCATTGACTGGTGAAGCCATGTTTTTGTTTGACCGTCGCTAGATTTATTCCAGCCTGACCCCATATCCGCTAACATCGCTCGTCGAGGGAGGCGA